CACAAAAACAAATTCCCAAATGTGCTAATTTATAACCCCAAGAATGTCTAAAGCAGAAATGATGTCTATGGCGTGTTTATTTTCATTCACTTCTGACTTTTCACTTCCTCGTCTTCTGAGACAAAATAGAGCTCTGTGTGAAAATTCAGATTTTTACTTTGTGAATTTTTCCCAAGCAAAACAAATTTTTTAGTAATTTCCTAAAAATCAGGCACTGCTATGAATAACACCTCTGTATTAGGAAATTCATATAAGGCCCAGACCTTGTATATGACTTAGGTAGTGTGATTATAAGCCTCATGACCCCCCAACCCAAAGAAAATGTGGTCCTCAATCCTGCATAACCTTCTGCATGTGAATAATTTTATGCATGTGAATAGGCACATTGGGCTTATGTGTATCTTCGAAATCAGAGCCAATGTTGTTCATATTCCGTGTGTGTGTGTGTGTGTGTGCGCGCTATACATGTGATTTTCTATATGGGAAAGTGTTGTTATTGGGGCAGTGTTTTATATTTCAGGGTCACAGTCGTAAATCAATCTAAATTTTCTAACAAACAGGCAGCTTTTCTTTGCATATCAGTTTGCTTACTGGTGACAAAGATATTCTAGAGTTTTATTTGAGTGCAGTCATTCATGGCCTGAAAGAGACAGCAGGACATGGAGATGCCTTTAATAAATCCCTTCGTAACACAAGTCCAAATAAAATAAAACACTTTAAAAATAAACAAATCATTGTGTCCCAACCTCTTAGCCCCCCGCAGAGTAGATAAATAGAAAGATCCCTTTAGATAGTAAAGTTAAAGATAAAAGGTAAACCTCAAAATACCAAACCATTTTACTGTCAGCACCAAATGCCTGGTTATAATAAAGGCCATATCAGTATCACCACATCCATTATCAACTCTGATTTTCATGGGAATTTTCCAGGAAAAAAGTATCCTCATCGTTTTGATCTTTACTCAGAGGCAGTCTTTCAGTAATATCCAATCCCTGACCTATCTCCTCCCCCCGCCCCCATATACACAGCTAAACCCTCCCTTGCAAAAGAGCAGGGAGACTTACACATTGTGTTCATGTCTCCTATGTCACCCCACTGGTCTCAACTGGACATGTTGTTTGTTCTGTGTCCAGTCTATCCTATTGATAGTTTCAGTTTCCAATGCAGAGTCATGGTTTCTCCTGTTATGTCCTGATCTGAAGGAATGCCAGCAGTGTTAGGAGTGTAGAGCTCATCCAGTACCAGGGAGGCAAAGCAAGTATTGGACTGGATTCTCCCAAGAGTCCCACCTTGCCCTGTCTTTCAGCTATAGGACCATTTCCATCTCCTTAACACAGTGCTCCCTCACGTGCAACAGTGGGCAACTCCCAAGTTACCACAGTACTAGACCAGTAGTTTTCAACCTTTTTTCATTTTTTTTTCAAAAATTTCAAATGGAGGTGCGGACCCTTTTGGAAATCTGAGACATAGTCTAAGCTAATGTGTAGTCTATGGAAATCAGTTGTAAGTTTGTAACAGCGATGTTAATTAACCTTTGGAAAAATTTACCAAGGATTGTGGTGGATTCTCCTTCACTGGCAATTATTAAATCAAGATTGGATGTTTTTTTCTAAAAGATCTGCTCTAGGAATTATTTTGGGGAAGTTCTATGGACTGTTACATAGGAAATCAGTCTAGATAATCACAATGGTCACTTCTGGCCTTGAAATCTATGAATAAAAAATCCTTCTCACCTCATTCAAACAAGTGGTCTACTGACTTCAGTAGATCTACTTGCATGAACAAGGTTATCAGGACTAGGCTCTGGGTGCATCACAACAATGACATATCTTGTTTCTGCTGACCCAGAGAATCCTGCATCTTAAACCCTAGTTTTTCCAATGGCAGAACAACTTGCTTCCAAAATATCACCTAGGCAGATCATTTGCTTTAAATTGTGTGGGCCAGATCCTCAGCTAGTGCAAATCAATGCAGCTCCATTGACTCCAGTAGAGGTAGGCTGATTTACCCCACCTAAGAATGTTTAGGCACCTTAAAGAGCGTACACTAGGCCTCAATCTAGCACTTAAGCACCTTCTTCAAATATATGAGTAGTCCAGTTGACGTCAAGTGCTTTGCTGGATCAAGACCTAGGCTAATTTTTTTTAAAGTGATGGGGGAGTCCTTGAATACGATAAATAATGCCATACGGAAATAAAAGTTACTTTTCACAAAAGAGGCTTCTTTATGTGCTATCCGCACACAGTTGAATGATGAGGAGAAACAAAGATGTTTCCACCTAACAGAAATGTGTTGCAACATGTATATAAATGTTACCAGTGTGGATATATACAGCCCTTATTACTTGTTAAACTCAGTCAGTATGCAAAATTGGCCTGTAAAGCCCTTACTTCAGTGATATGAACTTTTTATATTTTAAAAGGATTAGAAAAATGACTATATGAAATGTCACAATATTTGTATTCAGCCTTTTTTATTATAACACTCAATATGAATAGCACCAGCTTGTGAAAAGAGCTGTAGGAAAAGTTTAAAAATAAATATCTTGCAGAACACTTTTTTTTTCTCTTTTGCCATCACCTACGCATGAGAATAAACGACAGCTTTAGCTTGTGGTTTCTTAATTTTTCACAGTGTGTTTTTAACAATCACTCTTAAACCTATAAATTTATCATAGGGAATCCAAGAAACTTGCTGTAATGAAGACCTCATGAGCTTCTGGGAATTTTAATACGATTCTTGTATATTCTGTAGCATTCTGGAGCTACATTCTGTAGCCTCTCTGATTTCCGCAGCATACTGGTGATGATTTTGGCATGAGTGGGAGCTGAAACTTCTGAGGCAGCCTAAGATGAATAGATCCTGGCAGATCTAGGGACTTTGATTGAAGTTGTGGGTGCTCAGCACCTCTGAAATCAAGCCTTAAACAATAATTGCGATAGGATGTGAGTTCATCAGCCATCTTACTTGCCCTTCCATACACCAAAGTGTGTGTGTATTGGTTGATGAACTCACAACCTAAAGTGTGACTATTGTGGTATAAAATGGCTTATTATTTAAAAATAATAATAATGATAACAATAATAATTACTTCCTCTTCTGAAAGGAATCTGAGTGTCATATTGCTAAAGCTAATAGGTTCTTCTTTAGCTCAAGTTGATGCTTCCAAAGCAGAAGGATCTGAGATAGTTAATCGTTGTTGCCTCTCTGTAGTTCCTAATAGCCTGGGTGTATAGCTGCCCACAGATTTCTTACATTACTTTGCTCTACCGTGTTGTTCTATCAGAACTAAAATCATCTTTTTGTTCTGGGTGTGTACATTATTGATTAGCACAATGGTGTTCTGGTCCAAGAGTTGGGTTTCTAGGCATAATACAAGTAATAATAATTAATATTCAGATACTGAGCAGAGGAAACAGCTGCTTCTTCTGTTTAAGGATTCCCCCTGTTCACCCCTTCCTAAACAAGTGTAACCATAGTAAGCAGGAGCTAAGGTTGAGATTTTCAAAGCTGAATACAAGATCTAGTCACACAACTGTCATTGGAATTATTAGTTGTGTGACTAAATCCCCTTGTTGGCTTTGAAAAACTGGACCTCAGTTTCTCCTTCTGTACCCAAACCAGTTATCGACTCCTCCATTCTTAAATCTCCTCCAATACTACTGTTCAGCTGCAGTGAATAATGACAGCAGCCTCCCCAGCTTCTCGTCAAGGCTCTTCTTCCCTGGCCTGTGCCAGAGAAGGCAGCAATGGCCCCACCTGTTCTTTCAGGCCCCGCCCCGCTTCCACTGTTTGGCTAGGGAGAGCAAGGAAAGTGGTCACAGCTGTGTCTTCAAAGTTCCACTCTCTGGGCAGGGCTGACAGACACAGGACTTCCTTCCCATAATCCCATACGGTTGCTCAGCAGAACAGTATAATCCCCTTCTGGCCAATTACTAGTTCAGAGCCTGGACTGGTTTTGAAGACCCATCCTCATCTGTCATGCAGCAGGAAGGAAGGGAATATTTTATTTAAAGGGAAAAGCTGAAGTTGAAAGGATTTAAATGTTAATTGATCATTTCTATTATTTTATATCAGTGTGCTTTAACTTTAGTGTGAGTGTGTTGTGGTCTGATGCATGAACAAGCTTGATACTCTTGATGTGTTTATTCACTGGGGGATAATTACATGAGTTGAAAGCGTCTTAAGACAATCAGATCACAGCTTTCATCTAAGCCATTTTATGACTGTGCAGTCCTTGCTGCAGTGCAGGATGAAAATGGTACACACACAAAAATACAAATGTGGCAAATAGGAATATAGAGCCTTAGGGATTAGAACTAGTGATGACTATGTAAACAGGCAGTGGGATTGGGTACCCAAGAGGTCAGGAGGGATGTGTATAGGTTCTTCTGTAGGTTATTGAATACAGTAGTCAATAGTGCTGATTTTCTGGAAGAGACATTGCAGGGCAGAAGAAAGCTGCATTCTGTGGATTCACAAATGGGGATTTATGCAGAGAGTAAGAATGTGTTGTAGTTAATGCACTGGACTGGGACTCAGGAGATCGGGGTTGTTTCCCAGGTCTGTTACAGAATATGTGACCTCGGGCAAGTCACTTAGGGCCTACCAGCATTAGAGAGATTTCCACTGATGTAACAGCATCGACATAGTTTCACCCTGATGTAGAGCTTTGCACAGGTATAAAACAGGGTTTATACCAGTGCAGTTTACTCTGTTAATCTACTGGATTAAGATGCACTGTTTTCAACCCTGCTTTATATCGGAGCAGGGTGACTCCATTAGGATGTAACTATATTGACAGTGTAACTATACTGACTAAATTACAATGGTGCAAATTTCTGTAATGTAGGCAGGGTCTTAATCTCTCTGTGACCCAGTTCTCCTTGTATAAAATGGGGATAATACTTTTCCCCACCCTGAGTCTGTCTTGTATATTTAGATTATAAAATACCTGGGGGAGGGATCATACCTTACTCTGTGTTTGTACAGTGCCTAGCACAATAGGACTCTGATCTTGGTAGAAGCCTCTAGGTACAACCATAATATAAATAATACTTAATAACTTGACAAAAAGGTGAACTATGTAGCTATCCGTGGAGCTGCATAACTGCATTCTATACAGACCCTGCCTCTAATTAAAAACTTTTAAGGTGCCATTTTATGGTACTGTGCCTTTCCTTTTTTAAGAATATATCAAGTGATCCTCACATAAAACAATACAATAGAACCAAAGCATTTTCATAAGGAACCCAATTATGAGACAAGATAACAGAGAATTCCCCTTGTTATACTGACTGTTTTAAAATTTTTCTTTTAGTTGTGGAATATTCCATTCATGTGCACACTGGAGACATAAAGAAAGCAGATGCCAGTGGAGAGGCTTATCTTCTTATTCAAGGAGCGAGAGGTGACTCTGGGAAAAGATGGCTTAATAATTCAAGAAGTGGACCCATCACTTTTGCCAGAGGCCAGGTAAAAGAACTGAGGAAAAATAATTGAAATTGTAAATGTCTCCTTAATAATACCTCACGTTTACATAGAACTTTTCAGGCTAAAGGATGTTAAAAGTACTTGACCAGCCTGCCCATTCCATATAGGGATCATTTTACCTACTACCAAGTGACAACCATCTCTGGGATGAAATGTGGTTGTTCTTCTGCACCATCAGCTTGCACAACAGAGAGATAGTTAAATTAATGAAGTATTTTTGTTCAGAAAATTAGATTACAAACTCCTTGATGCAGTTAGATGCAGTTATCTAAACTATGGGCCAAATGCACCATTGGTGGAAGTGCATAGCTCTCCATAAGATATCTTGGTGTTGTGCCTGCTTAAATGAATATGGCACTGTGTGTTTTGTGAACGATCATGAACACCTACCTAGCAATATAAACAATAAATAATAATAAGGCAAATGTCCCATTCCAGTCCTCATTCTCCTTCTTTAGTTTGTCCATTCAGAAATTCCTTATTAACCTTACAAAAATCTTCTTGGTTTTTGAGAATTCAAAAACTTTTGCGGAAAAAATCCTGGAACAACTGTTGTCAAGAGAATAAGATAGTTAAAGAAAATTTCAGATCAAAATCTTACAGATACCTTGTTAGACCTCAGTGTCTGATACAAATTCAGATTTGCAAGACATCGTTACATTTTTATCAAAGGTCAATGTAAAATCACTCTATACGGAACCTACATGCATTTCTCTGTTACTAAGCTTTTTGCAGCTGACAGCCCTTCAACACTGAGTGGTGTTGAATGGAAAGTGAAGAACCAATGAATACTGCTTCAGTTCCACTGTAACCCAGAATCCAGATTATCCAGATTCAGTTTAGTGCTTGCTGCTTTAGTCACCCCAGGGCATGATGAGGAGAACCTCCTTGTCAAAATCCAGGAGTTGCCATGACTACCACTTTGCAAAGATATATGGGAGAGGCCTTGACACTGACTCATCAGCAGAAAACCAATCTGGACTGTATGTGTGTATATATATCTCCTCAATATATATTCCATTCTATATGCATCTGAAGAAGTGGGCTGTAGTCCACGAAAGCTTATGCTCTAATAAATTTGTTAGTCTCTAAGGTGCCACAAGTACTCCTGTTCTTTTTGCGGATACAGACTAACACGGCTGCTACTCTGAAATCTGGACTATGTTACCGATCATCTCTACAATGGATGCTTCCACATTGTGGTGAACAGAATGGGAATGAGCTGCTTCCACTGTAAGAAACTCCCTCCTCATGACTCAGCCTGATGAAAGAGTGCCTGGCTTTGAGCTGCCATGCTCTGTCTGGTGCAAGCTCAACCATTTCAAAGGCGGGGCAGTGAGGTGCGCAGCAAATGACCACACCTGGGTACCTGGGAAACTCTTGTGTGGTTGAGAATGTTGCACACTTACTTGATGGCTTCTTACTGTGTGCTGATCTATCAGCTGTTGAATGACTAAAACATGTGATGCCTACCTAAGTCCTCTTGACGTTTGTCTTTTTGATTCATACATCTGTATTATCTCTCTACTTTTGCATTTTCCATCTTTATTATGCATCCACTAATAATAACAACTCCAGAAGAACATATGAAATTAAACCTTTTGCTATTTTTTTTACTTTAATAGATAGACATTAGTCAGGTTTCTGAATGTAGCTGAAGTACCTCAAAGAATCTTCTACTTGACGTATATTCTCTCTGTGCACTAAACCCTCCTGTTTTCATTTTGTCTGCTGATTTTCATTCTTAAAAGTTTCAGAAGCCAGGTTTTATGAAAAACGAACTAGATCTTTGCTGCTCATTGCAGCCTTCCAGTTAGTCTACTTAATTTGCACAGTTCTGCAGCAGAGTGGAAAGCCCTACCTGATATCCAACAAATATGGAGTTAATTTCCTGATCAGACTTTACAAAGGAAATCGGGAGACAGTAGTGAAAGAGGACTTAGAATGGTAGGGCTACCCAGGCTTTGAAGGATAATGTACAGAACTCAGTGGGGCCATCTATGTGGTAGGTAGATGAGGATGATACTTCGAGAAAGCAGGATTCCACAAGCAGTTGGTAGAGACATGAAATATTAGTGCTGGCTGAGAAGGGTGGTGGTTCTGTTTTCTTTCTACATAAATAAGGCCTCTGCATTTTCTTTATTCTCCTTGTAATAAATTCACTTTTAAAGTACCCTTAAGAATAATGCATTGAGGCAGGAAACTCATGGACTGACTCACTGATTTTTGTGAGTGCTGAGTTAGCTGATTGACTCCAACAATGAAGACACTCCTGTTCTTTGAGTCCTCAAGTTTTTCTCTTTACATATCCAATTTCTGTTCCCCTTCTCTGATATGTTTGCTTAGGGGAGCAACAACGTCACCTGGAGCAGGACTCTTCCATCTGTTTGAGTCCAGTATCTTGATTTTTTACTTATTGTTTAAAGATTCTAGAGTTCAAGTAATAACAGCACTCTTTGGATTAATGGTGCTCACTACTCTTCTTAGTGTATTCTTTACCCTATCCTCCCTGATGACAATCTGAAAAAACACCTACTTTTTTGACCTTGATACTTCACCCTTCCTCTCAGATGAGAATTTGCCAGAGTAATCCATGTATTCATCGCCTCCAGGCTGGGCTGTCATAATTCATTGTACCTGGCACTGAACATGGTAGCAGTTTAGGGTTTCCATTGCCAGTTCAAGTCTTTGGCCCATCTTAAAAGCCCTTACTGGGTCAGAATCAAGCTACATCAGCAACTGCATCTTCATTCAGAATTCACTTGGACAACTGTTCCTCTCTAGAATAACGAAGTCTGGGAGAAGTTCAAGAGCACCAGAGATAAAGTAACCTTAGTTGTGGAGGTTTTGTTGGGGAACAAGTTTCCCAAAGAGGTCAGACTAATTCAATTATTTATCGCATGCTTCAAGACCCTGAGCTTGGAGGCCTGAGTCACCAAAATATTTAAGTACATTCTTTACTTTAAGCACAAGTAATCCCATCCATATTCAACAAAACATGCCCTTAATTTTAAGCAGTTACCTAAGTCTCATGTGCTTAAAGTTAATTATGTGCTTTTATGAGAGCTTTCCCACCTCTAACCAGACTGAAGAGAGGTGTTTGGGAAAAGAGTGAGAAAACAAACAAACCAAGAACTCTCTCTCTCTCTCTGTGTATATGTGTGTATCTTATGCCAGGAAAGAAGAAGATCAAAAGACTTCATTAAGTTCACTAAGCACTTCACCATGCAAATCTAAAGTACTTGAGAAGCTCTTTTGTGAGATGGAGATGACTTCCATAGAAAATCCTAATATAGATACATAGGTATAATGTCACTTCTTATAACAGTCATAATTCATCCAATTTAGTTATTTCATCCTACAAGCTTAGTAGAAATTGGCATCTTACTGGAACTTCAATCTGAGCTTCAAAGTTTCTGAAAATACTGTTTATCAATTATAGTGATACTTTAAAATTCATCAGAAAAGTCATACTAGTCACTGACACTGGAAATATCAATTAGAGCACATTCTGTTTTATTGTGCACTTGAAAGAAATGGAATGACAGGACAAGGGTAAAGTAAAGTGCACTAACATACAAAGCAATGTCCACTTATGCAGAGGTAAATTCACAAGTCATATATACCTACCGTGCACAACCACAATTAAAATTATTCTCAAATTGCAGGTGGATGTTTTCAGAATCAAAGCAGTTCACCTTGGCAAGCTGAACCAAGTTCTTGTTGGATTTAAAAGTTTTAAAAAAGGTACTGTACAATAATTTTCAAATAAACTATGTGCCTGGAATATACAGCATTGCATTGTAACAAATACCATATAACAACATTGATTATCATCAGATGTAATGGGGGTCAGAAATGCAGAAAAACATCTGTTAAAATTATGATTTCAGATCATATGTTTAATGAGGTCTGTTCTATTTGGAAACTAGTGAAAAAATTGAAATTGCTGGATCTTTTCAGTTTTTTTCTGTGTTTTTGTGTTAGATTGTATATAACCTGGTTTCACTTAAATTCTCAATGTACTATAGGAGAATCATAAATGGTATCCAGTGAATTACATAGTGAAAAATTATGAGACATTTCTTGTTTGTTTTTTACAATTAGTGGCTTGTTTGATATATTTGGGTCTGCCAGTAGATTCAGCAAATATTTTTATTTTCCAGCAAAAGTATGTTATTTTTTCTTGTTTTGCATCTCATTTGGCTATCATTCCCCACTCCAATACACACATACACTGTTTTAACTTTGCCATTTTTAAAATTATGGACATTTTTATTAAGTATAAAATAAATCCTTAATCACTCAGGGTGAAATGCTTTCTTCCTCTGCCACCAGGGGAGAGGAACAAAGATCAATCAGTTGAGGTGAAAAGAGGGGCATGGAAGAGGGGGAGTGTTGGCTTCAAAATATTGTCCTCGTTTCCTATAGAAATCCATTCACAGGTGTTTAAGGGGCTCTGGGCATGTGGGTGGGGTGGCAGGCAGAGAAAGCTACACTCTCTGCAGCATCGTTTCTCCCAACTCCCCTCCAATTCTCAGTATAAATAATGCTTGCAACTTCAAAGTAGGTAGTGACAGTTGGGGACAGTGTGGGATCATGGCTCCTTCAGGACTCTCAGTGCCATGCGGGCCAAGTGGCCATGTGGAGACACAGAGAAGAGATGCAGGTAGCCCTGGCCTCTGCAGATCTCCTGAGATTAATGAGTTGCAGACCATCTCTGAGAGTGGCAAACCCAGATCCCCATTCCTACTCCCACTATTGAGAGCAAGAACTTGGAAAATTCAGGAGCCAAATTCATGGAGTTTCAAGTCATTTATATAGGAAAACCCGAATAGGGGGCTATTTGCCTCTTATTGCTTAAAGTGAAAGGGTGAAATCTGACCCCACTGAATTCAGAGTCATAACTCCCATTGACTTAAGTAAGGCCAGGATTTCACCAAAATAGTTTCCTCCTATTTAGGATTAGCTTAAAAACAGTCAGAAATATGTCAGGACCAAGTGCAGTTCAAGTGACTCAAGCCAGTAGCTTCAGTTTCAGTGGGGATGTATGTGGATTTGTTTCTCATTTCTAATCCTCAAAGTCTGATGATAATACACCAGTCCTGGAATAATTCATTGTTATATGCAAGAAAAGTCTGGAAAGGGCTATTTTAAAAACATTCTTTATACTAGTTTTCTTTTGTTTCCTGCTTATGTTGTCAAACAAGTCATGTCACATGGGTACAGTGTAACATGCATTTATTGCACTCTTAGGTCAGTAATATTCCTCCCATGGAGGAGGAGAAAACTCTTGAGCTGCATGAGTTATAATCACTAATAAGAAATCTCTATGGCCCCAAACCTGGGAGGTGTTTCATGTCTTCTGTGAGTTGCTGAGTCCTCTGCATTCTCGTTTAAATCAGAAGCTTCAGCTTGTGTAGGCAGAGCTTATCATTGTTACTTGACATGCAATCAATTAATATATTTGTTTTAATCAGATGACTGGTTCTTGGAAAAAATTGTTATAAAAGAAGAAAGTTACCCTTTTGCCACTCACATCTTTGCTCACCATGACTGGATCAGCAAACACTCAAAGAAAGATTTTACAGAACTAGAAATTCCATTGAAAGGTAATGCCAACAAAATGTCTTTTGCTTACACAAGTTAGTGTCGCATGACTAAGCACTGTTGAGTAAATTACAATTTATAAATTAATGTAATGATTTATGGTGACTTATAAGAAAGATATGTATTCTGAATATATATTTCTTCTAAATATAGAAATGACTGTGACATCTGATCCAGTAAAATACTTTGCTACTAAAAGCAGAGGACGATGGCAAATGTGGGTGTACTGTACACACATACCAGAAAGAGTTCCTGATATTCAAGTTGTTGTGTTTGGAACAAAAGGGAAATCTGCTGCACAGAAGGTTCAGAATCTCAAAAATGACCCTTTTTTGGTTAGTTCCTTTTTATTATATTTTATATGGATCTTAACAATGTGTAACTGGGAAAGATACATTGTGTTTTCTATGTGCCGGATTGTACACACAGATTGCTTTATTGGTCAGAGTTGATATCTGATATCTCCCATGCACCAAAAAAAACAGTACTACTAGAACTACTGGTACAGGAAGTGAAACCAGATATTGTAGGGATAACAGAAGCATGGTGGAATAGTAGTCATGACTGGAGTACAGGTATTGAAGAGTATGTGCTGTTCAGGAAAGACAGAAATAAAGATAAATATGGTGGAGTAGCATTGTATATTAATTATGAGATAGACTGTAAAGACATTAGCAGTGATGGAATGGATAAAACGGAATCTGTTTGGGTCAAAATCACTTTGGGGAAGAAAGCTACCAGAGGCTCCACTGGGATAGTGCTTGGGGTCTTTAAGATCTGATATGGATATGGATAGAGACCTCTTTAATATTTTAATTAAATAAATACTACTGGGAATTGTGTGATCCTGGGATACTTTAATTTCACAGATATAGAGTGGAGGACAAGTGCTACTAATAATGGTCGGGGTCATATATTCCTGGATGTGATAACTGATAGATTTCTTCACCAAATAGTCACTGAGCCAACAAGAGGTGATGCCATTTTAGATTTGGTATTGGTGAGTAGTGAGGACCTCTTAAAAGAACTGGTTGTAGAGGACAACCTTGGTTTTCATGATCATGAGCCAATTCAGTTTAAACTAAATGGAAGGCTAAACAAAAATAGATCTGCAACTAGGGTCCTTGATTTCATAAGATCAAACTTTAAAAAATTAAGGGAATTAGTTAGATAAGTGGACTGGGCTGAAGAACTCAAGGACTTGAATGTGGAGGAGCCTTGGAATTACTTTAAGTTAAAGTTGGAGAAACTATCTGAAGTCTGCATCCCAAGCAAAGGGAAAAAATGTATGCAAGAATTGCAGGCCAAATTGGAAAAGCATGCATCTCAAACAGGTTATTAAGAGAAAGCAGACAGCCTACAAGGAATGGAAGATGGGAACAATCAGCAAGGAAAGCTACCTCTTGGAGATCAGAAAGAATAGAGAAAAAGTGAAAAGTATAGGGGAAAAATCCAAGCAAATATGGAAGTGAAAAGGAAATTAAAACCAATACTAATACATTCTATAGCCATATAAATGAAAAGAAAACAAGGAAATAAGTGGGATTGCTAAACACTGAGGATGGGATGTAAATTAAAGATAATATAGGCATGAACTAATACCTAAAGGAATACTTTGCCTCATTTTTTAATAAGGGTAATGAGGAGCTTAGGGATAGTTGCAGGGTGGCTACTGAAAATGAGGATATGGAAGTAGAAATTACACTATCCAAGGTAGAAGTCAAATTTAGACAGCTTAGTGGGACCAAATCAGGGGGCCCAGATAATCTCCATCCAAGAATATTAAAGGAACTGGCATGTGAAATTGCAAGCCCAATAGAAAGGATTTTTAATGAATCCATAAACTTGGGGGTTGTACTCTGTCACTAATTGCTAATATAATATTTATTTTTAAGAAAGGAAAAGAAAGTGATCCAGGAAACTACAGGCCCATTAGTTTGACCTCAATAGTATGCAAGATCTTGGAACAAATTTTGAAAGAGAAAGTAATTGAGGACAAAGAGGTAAATGGTAATTAGGATAAAATCCAACATAGCTTTACAAAAGGTAGATTGTGCCAGACCAACCTGAACTCTTTCTTTGAGAAGGTAACTGATTTTTTTAGTCAAAGGAAATGCAATAGATATAATTTACCTAGATTTCTTTAAGGCATTTGATACAATTCCATATGGGAAATTATTAGTTAAATTGGAGAAGATGGGAATCATCATCAGAAAAGAAAGTGGATAAGGAACTGATTAATGGAAAGACTACAGTAGGTCATACTGAAAGGTGAACTGTCAGGCTGGAGGGAGTTTACTACCAGAGTTTCTCAGGCCTCGGTCTTGGGATCAATCTTATTTAACATTTTTATTAATGACCTTGGCGCACAAAGTGGGAGTGTGCTAATAAAAATCGTGAATGACACAAAGTTGGGAGGTATTGCTAATATGGAGGCGGACCAGAATATCATACAAGAAGAGCTGGAGAACATTGAATACTGGAGTAATAGAAATTGGATGAAATTTAGTAGTACAAATTGCAAAGTCATGCATTTAGGGATTAAAAACAAGATTTTTTTGCTATAAACTGGGGAATTATCAGTTGGAAGTGACAGAGGAGGAGAAAGACCTGGCTATATTATTTGATCACAGATTGACTTTGAGCCACCAATGTGATGCACCCGTGAAAAAGGCTAATGCAGTTCTAGGATGCATCAGGCAAGGTATTTCCAGTAGAGATAGGGAAGTGTCATACAAGGCATGGGTGAAACCTCATCTAGAATACTTTAGACATCTGGTCTCCCATGTTCAAGAAAGATGAATTCAAACTGAAACAGATGCAGAGAAGGGCCCCTAGAGTGATCAGAGGAATGGAAAACCTACCTGAGAAGAGGAGACTCAAGGTGTAATTGGTTTCCCCCACTTAGGATGCCGCCTGATGTACTGGGATACTGCTGAGCCCACCTGTTCTGCCAGCCTGAGCACCCTTTTTCCTGTCTTGCTGAGCCAGGCTATTAAGCCTCCTCCAGCACACACACAGGCAGGACCACACCCAGCTGCAGAAAGACACAGACACTGAGATTAGTTCTGGGAAGACTCAGTTTAAGGGACTTGCCCCAGCACTCAGGTGTCCACCTCCCTTGGAGAGCAGACCCAAAGGTATATTATGAAATCCACCTCCTCCCTCAATGTGGAGGAAGATATGCACAGCCTCTTATTTCCCCCCCACACACCCGCCTAATTATGAATTGTACAAATGGGGTTATATTATAAACAAGAAATAGGTTTATTAACTACAAAAGGTGAATTTTAAGTTTTTAAAGAGATCGTAATCTGCTTTGTTCTGTTTGCTAAGCAAAAAACAAAACAAAACACGCAAACTAAGCTTGTTTCACTAAAGAAATTGGTTACAAATAGCAATTTCTCACTCTAAATCAGTGATTCTCAAACTTTTGTACTGGTAACCGCTTTCACACAGCAAGCCTCTGAATCTGACCCCCTCTTATAAATTAAAAACACTTTTTTATATATTTAACACTATTATAAATATGCTGGAGGCAAAACGGGGTTTGGGGTGGCGGCTGACGGCTCGCGACCCCCCCGCACATAATAACCTCATGACCCCCTGAGGGGTCCTGACCCCCAGTTTGAGAACCTCTGCCCTAGATATTGTTGCAGACAGATTACAGAAAGTCTTGAAAAGCAGCTGCACTGGTCTCCAGCTTGAGACCTCAGGTATTATTATTCACAAGCTAGACGCCTTCCAGCTTGGGCTCAACCCTTCTCACCCCAATTCAGTTCTTATTTCCAGGTGTTTCAGAGTGTCTCTTTGGGTGAGGAGACAGAGGAGAACCCTGATGATGTCACTCCCCTGCCTTATATAGCTCTTGTGTAAGGTGGGAACCCTTTGTCTTCCAGTGGAAAAACACTGGCATTCCAAAATGGGAGGAGGGCTGTTCAGTACCAGGTGTGTCTGTAGGGCTGTGGCAGCCACTATTCATAGGTTGTCCTGAGCATCCACAGGAAGACTAAGCTCTTTTACAGTCCATTGTCTTTGCTAATGGGCCATTATCACTGTCTGGCTTTCTCATTATTGTACCTCAAGGGCTAATTGAGGGTGACACAAAAGTAACCCATTTGAAATACAGATAAATAGTCAGTATTTCTAACTTCAGATACAGAAATGATACAGGCATACAAATTGGATAATCACATTCATTAAATCATAATCTTTCAAATGATACCTTACAAGACCCATCTTGCATAAAGTACATCTCAGTTATTTCATATCCATATCATAAGCATATTTCCATAAAGAATATGGAGTTTAATGCCACATAAGGAGCTTGGCTTGTTTAGCCTAACCAAACAAAGGCTGAGGGGAGATATGATTGCTCTTTATAAATGCATCAAAGGGATAAATGCCAGGGAGGGAGAGGAGTTATTGAAGTTAAGTGCCAATGTGGACACAAGAACAAATCGATATAAACTGGCCATCAACAAGTTTAGGCTTGAAATTAGATGAAGGTTTCTAATCATTAGAGGAGTGAAGTTCTAGAACAGTCTTACAAGGGGAGCAGTGTGGGCAAAAAACCCAACTGGCTTCAAGACTGAGCTTAATAAGTTTATTGGGGGGATGGTATAATGAGATTGCTTACATTTGGAGATTGCAACTGCTAGTAGCAAAAATGCCAGTAGCTGGAGATGTGCGGGCTGTGGGTGGTTGAAAGGGAGTAGCTGAGGTTGAGAAGTGAAGCACAAATGAGGAGTTGAATCCTTTAACTGCTTTTTTCCTTGCTTTTCCTGATTTGCATTAGTGGCATTGCAGCAATGATACGTATTAGCCCCTACATGACCACCTTGAAAGAGCTGATGTCCCAATGTACTCATCAACTCTAAGGCCAGAAGAGAACACTGTGTTCATCTAATCTGACCTACTGCACATCGCAAGCCACAGAATCTCACCGCACATCTTTACATTCAGCCTGAACAACCAATGGGTAGCCTTAATTCCAATTACAAGTGTACATTTAAATATAAACACTTAAACATCTGTAAATTTCAGTTGTCCCATTTCTACATAAAAATGAATACCAACTTTACAAACAATTGCTAGAACATAGATCACCTCTTCACTAAAGTTTATTCATAAACATGAAGGAAAAATATATGACAGCATCCACCATTTGCAATCTGACCCTATATTTTATTTACCCACACCAATACAAAACCACTACACAACTATGTACAAAAAGTAATTTATGGAAGCCACCACCAACCCTATCCTGATCATGAAAACACATGGAAATTTAACCAATAAACATGGTCAGAGTTCAAGGCTGCCTGTTGGTTGCTCAGGTCGAGGATGGAGATCTGTGGGCTGTGAGCAGGGGACTGGAGGCAACTAAGGTTGAGAAGAGGAAATGATAAATGGAATGTAGCTGAGATGTAGTTGTGATTTCCTTGCTTTTTACAGTTTGAGGTGGGCTTTGTAGTCTAGATGCTTTAACTTAAAGTTAACAAAGTTTTTTGTGGGAGATGTATACTGTACTGTATGAGTTCAGATTCATTTTCTGATTTACCATTGGGGTTTGTTCACACCTGCTCAGCATTCTCGTCTATTCACTCATCTTTCCAAATGAGTTAAGAGAAATGAAACAAAACAAAATCCAAAAAAACCCCCAAAAACTT